TGATTAGTTGGTCTCAGGCTAAAACCCAGGAGACAAATACTGTAGACGATCCACAGAGAGCTCTCCTCCGTGTGACCCACAGGGACCCTTCAGATCCTGTCTGCATGATTACTTTGGTGGGAGGTCAAAAGACATGTGGGCTAGCTGAAATACTGCTTAGCCTGATGCCTGGACAAGATGAGAGTAAATATATGAGCAGTGGAGATGAGATGGTGAACATCCATCTCCTGATTCTGCAGACCTTTCATCCAGACACTGATACGTAATCGCTTGAGATGTGTGAGCTTGATGTGATTTAAATGAGACTTAAATTTTAAGTCCTAAACATCTGTATTTCCTCCTAGCGGCAGCTTTTCTTTTTGACGTGACAAGATGTCTCCAAACAAAAACCATGTAGCAATAAATGATCACCTGATTTTCCACATCCTATGAATGGATTAAAAGACAGCTAACGGTGTTCCACAGTAACCAATACATACATGTATCACGTTAAAGTAAAGCATATGTTTGGTTGTTGGAAATTTACATGTCCCATAAGAATGATGAAATCTTTTTAATGATTCTTGTTTCCAGATTTACAGTCTTACTCTTGAGACTCCAGGCCACATAATTAAATTGGGGTAGAAGTAGCTTCCCAGCAGTAGCCAGTGGTCCGTCATCTCAGTTTGGAGATTCGGTGGCTGTTATCAGAAGGCTGACAAATAAAGAACAGACTTCTACCTTTGGAAATAATCCAAACAGCCTTTTATTGATGGGTGGATAAGATGATGTCTATAAGAACCAGATTATACAGATTATACAGCATAACCAGATTATACAGAATAAAGAGATACAACTGCGTTAGCTCAGCTCAACTGGGAGAAGAGTAAAAAAAAATGGTATTAGTAATATTAGTATTATTATTATTAGTAGTAGTAGTAATGGTAGTAGTAGTACTAATAGTAGTAGTAGTAATAGTAGTAGTAGTACTAAAAGTAGTAGTAGTAGTAGTAGTAGTAGTAGTAACATTAGTAGTAGTAGTAGTAGTAGTAGTAACAGTAGTAGTAGTAGTAGTAGTAACAGTAGTAGTAGTAGTAGTAGTAGTTGTAATAGTAGTAGTAGTAGTAGTACTAACAGTAGTAGTAGTAACTGTAGTACTAATAGTAGAAGTATTAATAGTAGTAGCAGTAGTAGTAGTAGTAGTAGTAGTAGTAGTAGTAGTAGTAACAGTAGTACTAATAGTAGTAGTAGTAGTAGTAGTAGTAACCGTAGTACTAATAGTAGTAGCAGCAGTGGTAATAGTGATGGCAGTAGTATTAGTAACAGTAGTAGAGGTAGTAGTAGTAGTAATAATAATAGTAGTAGTATTATTAACAGTAGTAGTAGTAATAGTGGTAGTAGTATTGGTAACAGTAGTAGTAGTAGTAGTATTGGTAACAGTAGTAGTAGTAGTAGTAGTAGTAGTAGTAGTAGTAGTAGTACTAGTAACATTAGTAGTGGTAGTAGTAGTATTGGTAACAGTAGTAGTAGTAGTAGTAGTAGTACTAGTAACATTAGTAGTAGTAGTAGTAGTATTGGTAACAGTAGTAGTAGTAGTAGTAGTAGTAGTAGTAGTAGTACTAGTAACATTATTAGTAGTAGTAGTAGTATTGGTAACAGTAGTAGTAGTAGTAGTAGTAGTACTAGTAACATTAGTAGTAGTAGTAGTATTGGTAACAGTAGTAGTAGTAGTAGTATTGGTAACAGTAGTAGTAGTAGTAGTAGTAGTAGTACTAGTAACATTAGTAGTAGTAGTAGTAGTATTGGTAACAGTAGTAGTAGTAGTAGTAGTAGTAGTAACATTAGTTGTAGTAGTAGTAGTAGTAGTAGTAGTAGTAGTAACATTAGTTGTAGTAGTAGTTGTAGTAGTAGTAGTAGTAGTAGTACTTGTAACATTAGTAGTAGTAGTATTGGTAACAGTAGTAGTAGTAGTAGTATTGGTAACAGTAGTAGTAGTAGTAGTAGTAGTAGTAGTACTAGTAACATTAGTAGTAGTAGTAGTAGTATTGGTAACAGTAGTAGTAGTAGTAGTAGTAGTAGTAACATTAGTTGTAGTAGTAGTAGTAGTAGTAGTAGTAGTAGTAGTAGTAACATTAGTTGTAGTAGTAGTAGTAGTAGTAGTAGTAGTAGTAGTAGTAGTAGTAGTAGAGTGGGTTAGGGTCACAAAATGACCGGACTGCTTTCATGCGTCACGGTGCGCAGGTGAGTCGAGCGGAGGTGAGGTTTTAATGGTAAGCACGCGGGACAAGGAAACAACGGACAGACAAGGAACACAGAGCTGGGAGGGTTTAAATGCACGGGGAGCCGGGATCTACAGTGACTGGGAGACGAGAGGCAGGTGGGAGTAAGCAGGAGAGACACAGGACTGAACAGAATGGGAAGACAGGTCAGGTCGTGACATCATGTTTGACTTCCTGTCTGGCCTGATCTGAACTGCTGAGCTTGCTGCATTCTGGAAGTGTAGCGTCTAAAATATAGACTTGAAGGGTAAATTTAGTGGAGCAGTGTGTCTTTCTGGAACATGTCCCAAACACAATGGAAACACACACACCCACCATAACGGCGACTGATTTTTGCCTACCACGCTTCACGAATGTTATGCAAGGCTTACAGGTCTGATGGAAAGGCCCTGTTAGCTTGACTCATCACTGAGAAGTTCTCTTTGACAACCTTTCTCTGTTAGGACACATTTAGGATTCCATGATTTACTTCATGATTTACTCATTCTTGTAACTTCTGCAAACGTCTCTGTTTTGTAGGATCTACTCTAAATGTATGGCTGGAGGAAAAAGGTTGCTAAAAGCCACAGGGAGAGAAGGAGGCAGGAGGAGCTGATGGTTCAGACTTTTGGTCCAGAGCTTGTAAAGGTTTGTTGTGAGAATAAAAAGCAAACATGTCACTTTCCATGAAGGAACCCTTTTTCCTGTTAAGCTAAGAACGTGATGTCTCTATACCTTCCTTTTGTAAGCCCTCCCATCTTTGTGGACGTGTTCTGTGGCTGTTCCACCAAGAGAACAGGGAAAAACAGAGTAGAAACGAATAGATATGAAAACTACAGAAAAAAAGCTAAGCAGGAGCGTCTGACATGTCAGCTTTGTGTGTGATCATAATTGGAGAGACACATGATGAAAAATTACAAGAGGAGAAGATCGTGAGCGTGCAGGGGGCTGATCTCAGAATTACTGACACTTTTAAAACTCTCCACTCCCTCCTTACTTTGTGGTCTTCCTCTTTACCCACACGTCCCTGCCCTCTTTGACTCATCTCTCTCTCTTACTGTCTGTCTCTCTCGTCTCCCTCCCGGGAGGCTGGGTCTCCTGACCTCGTGTGAAAGTCAGCAGCACACATTCCACACTGGTCCACTCTGCTCTGGGAAAATCAGGCTTCATGAGACATGAGCTTAAAGAAAGCACTGGGCTGCTGCAGGCTGCTGTACAGTAGGAGGTAAAATAACGGATATGCACAGCAATAAAAGTCTGAAATAGAGAGAAACCGGGCTGGAAAGTGATTATTTATTTACTAAAGAGCTAATCTTTCTCCAGAACAATGAAATGTATGCTTACTGAGGAGTGCAGACCAGAAGAAATAACACACAGAAAGATGAACAAACTGTTCCTGCCTGGTCTTTTTGCTTTCTATTCACTGTGCGATCCCCTAGAGTCCTCTCCAAACCTTTCCATAGTTTTTCCTTGCTGGAACAGACAAACCCTCAGATTGATGAGTCATGTGTTGCTAATTGTAGCATTTGTGTCTGTTTCCATTTTCTGCAGTCAAACTGGCTTTTAAGAGTCTTTGCTGCTTAATGTGGAGCCCTCAACTCCACCAACTCTGTTAATAAAAGAGGGTTGATGTAGCGCACATGCAGCTCTGTGAAACATTTATTTTGTCTAAACTGTCGAAGCAACGGCCTTCAGCTTGAAGGAGGAGTTACTTCTTTCAGATAAAACAAAACAAAATATTGTTTTATGGGCAAAATGTGTCCAAAGGTGTGTGAAAAGTTCATAAAATAAAACAGGCCTTAAATCCATCAAACACACACACACACACACACACACACACACACACACACACACACACCTATAAATGTCATTTAAGGTCAGGTTTTTCCTACAGTGTGCCTATTTATTGAGATGAAATGAAGGAAGTGTTTTTATTTTTTATTCTTATATCCAGCCAACGTGTGCGTGCGTGCGTGCGTGTGTGTGTGTGTGTGTGTGTGTGTGTGTGTGTGTGTGTGTGTGTGTGCGCACACACTCCTACAGCTGTCCTCAATTTTGGGGTGTTGTGTCTACATTTTGACTTCTGGCAAGTAAAATCCACTCTGGTGAACATCCAGTGAACATCTTAGTCAATGAACTGGAAGTCAGAATATTAACCTTAATAGTTGCAGCTTTAACAGAGTACAATAAATGTATATTTGAAGGAGGGAACAGCTACCTGGATGCAGGACACAGGAGGACCTGACAGACAATAATTTATGAATTTGAAAAAGGGAGACTTTAACCTCCAAGTGAGTCTAGAAAAACGAGGAAGGCAAAAAACGGCAGCAGATTGTGCCCCCCCCCCCCCCCCCCCCCCGACAGAATCCTCCTGACTTGACCCTGGTGAAAGCTGAATAAGTATGGAGTTAATCAAAAGTGTGTTAGGATGACAGGCAGGGGGCCCTTCACGAAGCCATGCCAGGGGCCCCAGTTCCACAAAGCCTGCAGTGTATAAGAGGGGGACAACCCTTTGCACAGAAATCATAGCTGAGGTTGGGGGGGGGTAGGTAGTCTGTCTGCTGGTGGCAATAAACTGAGAACAGTTCCGATGTCAGTGCAGCCCACCAACGTCTCTGTTTGATGGTATGCACATCAGCCCCAGCGCCCACCTGATGACACACACAAGGTCTCGGGTCTCATGTGTCAACACTTTCAGCTTACAGGAAGCGTGACATTTAGGGAAAATTAGCTTACACAATGACGTGACATGACAGACGATACCTCTGTAATAATGAAGAAGTCGTCTCCAGGCTCTCCCTGAACCACAATCTTCTCTCCATCTTCAAACTGAACAGGCTCCAGAGCATCAGCCACCGTCAGGCGCTCCCACTTATCCAAAGACTCTGCAAACAGACGACAAACACAATGCCTGCTCAGATGTATTCATCCACATTTCGTGATCGCAGAGCCTCGTCCCATGGTCCTGCAGCAAGCTGCTGGGATAAATCCCAGGCTAATCCTGTCATTCATCAATAACCATTACACCTGAGATCCCTTAGCTGCTCCAACATTTCAAGGAGGCCCACAGAGTGTAACCACCCTGAATCTGTTCTGACTGCTGGTTGTGGTGACAGAGTTACGGTTTATCCAAGCACAGCTAGGTCTAGTTTTGGCAGAGTAAACCACAGAAGGCAAGCTAGCAACGGCTGATGTCACGAAGAGTCTAAAACAATAAAATGGCAGGTTTAGCTGCTTTAATAACAGCGATCTACTAAAGCATGTTGTTGGAAAACATGAATGCGTTCTACATTTAATTTCAATTATAACATGAGACCAACTATAATAGTGAATACTATTTACTTTACAGCTCTGAAGGACAAATGACTCATTTAGGAGTTGGGAAAGACTTCTGCTAAAACTTGTGATAGTATCTTTTGAGTTTCAAGTCATCTCCAACATCTGCCAGATGATCTTTCCAGCACAGCCCAAAATATTATCGTTTTATAAAAACCGGAACCAGGTTCTAACCAAAAGAACTGCAAATGACTGAGAACTGGTATTTGAAGAAAAGGCAGGCGCTAATGAACTGAGCATCTCCACACAGATGTTCCACTCCGTCGTTCAGCAGATCACAGTGGTCTAACCTTACCAGCCTATAGATCTCCAAGCAGAATGTGATTTGTCTTCAATGAAGCGCTCCGTTTCCTCAGCTTTGTCCAGATGACAAGATGATTCTTTGTTTTATTGGACTAAGATGAGTTTAAGGTGTAAAACTACATCAGAATATCTTTATCTATTGTCTCCCAATGTGCTTAGAAACAGATCCAGGTGTGTGTGTGTGTGTGTGTGTGTGTGTGTGTGTGTGTGTGTGTGTGTGTGTGTGTGTACTTAGGATTAACTAAGCTAGGTCTGGCAGCATTGGAGGTGTCCAGTGTCTTCTCTGGTGGGGCCGGGGTGTCTGCCGGACCCAGATGGATGTCTTCTGTCTGGCTGCAAGCTAAAGGCAGCAGGTCTCAAAGAGGTGATCCCTAACGCCAAGGCAAGTAACGTGATACACAAATGTCTTGGCTAAAGAACCTACATTTCATGCTTCACGGAGCCTGGACCCGCTTGGATCACCTTGGTGCTTACATGCTTTGTAAACACGGAGGAAACTGACCACTTGGACGCTAAAGGCTAGCCTGTTTAAGTGTCTGAGTGACAAAACAACATTTGTTTTTCCTCCCTTCACACCACGACATCAAGGGGCTTGAACCCAATTTCGTGGCTATCTGAAAAATCAAAGCCAAATAAAACACTCCCGCCTCCCGCCCCTCCCACTATTCAGAGGCTGAGCAGCGAAGCAGAGCAACAGAACGAGAAATGAAGAGCGGTGAAACACTTCGCCAAGAGAGGTGGGTGCTTGAATGCAGACCTCAACACGGCTGTCAGTAAGGGAGCCGGGGAAGAAAAGGAAGCCATGAAAAGAGAGTGGACATCAGAGAGGCATTCTCACAAGACCTGAGTTGAGTGTATGTGTTTACTCACCCAGCTAATAACTCTGTACAGGGGGCTTGGCCTTACTCTATACACCGCACACACACCATCAAGTGGAAAAGGATGAGACGTCAGTTCCAATTGCAACTCAATTTGAAAGTCTGAATGAATCTCATTGGCCTCTCGTCTAAATCCTGCAGCCTGCTTATTTTGGAGTTTCCAGCGGGAAAGAGAGGCTAAGCCTAACTGGCCATCCCTTCACTGTCCACACAGAGACATTGCAGAGTGTTACTGGCTTTAGGTATGAGCAATGTGAGCAGATTAGGACAGTAAACACAGCTATGGGTCTCATGCAACAACATGCGCCTGTGTTTATGTGAGCCATTCTGTGGTATGGGGCCATTTAACTCGCCACCTGATTCTTCGTTAAACGTTAAACACACTTACCGAGGATGGAGACCTTGCTAAGAAACTCCTCATACATCTTCCTCTTTCTCAGTGTACTACCCTGTAAAACAAACACACATTTGACACAAATCATTTGACAGCACTGCAGTTCCACGAGACTAAGCTACATAACACTGAACTCACTCACTGGAATGGTATGAAGTCAGTTTGATTTATTGTACAATTCCTCTCTCCTTTCATATTTATTGCAGAATTCTTGCAGTAAGCAAAACTCTTGATGTCATTCGTTTCCAAAAATATTAAGATGATTGCACTTCTTTTTAAATATAGGACAACTTTTAGGATTTGTTTGTAATGATGCTTAAGGTAACATTGTGTGTACTGATAATGCACATGT